TAAAATTTTGCAGGTAGCTTTCTAATAGTAATAGGAATCTATAATAATAAATTCAACATGCTAGCATCGTTTAAGTATATAGCCTATACATCCTTAATATCCATCGCATGGAATTTGTAGCGTTTTATCAAACATTTAACATTTTTCTTGTATACACTATAATTTATTCTATACGTTTTTTTGTTCTTTTATAATGTCTTACTGAAATCTTGTGATATTCAAGGAGTGAGTAAATTGATCGTAATCGTCCCGGGGAAAGAATGAGAAGTATCTGATACGGAATCACAGTAATCAGATTCTTCGCTCGGTCGCTTTTCATTAAACAGTCTTTTTCCCTTTCTGCGGTAAACAAGTTTCAGAATACAACCGCAGCAGCGACTGAATTGAATTCGCGTATATTTATTGGAGATGCTACGTCCGGAACGAAATTATTTCGTCGAACTTTATTTTGCAGGAGTTTCACCTTAATTTGATAAACTTCTACGTTCAAATTTTTTCTTCATCCACCGCTTTGCATTGGACATTGTTAACTCGTTCCAGCCCGTTCTCTTTGAAATTCCATTTTAACTTCGTTAAATGTTTTTATCCAATCTTTAAAGAATTCAACTAAATTCTTAATTTATGTTGCTTTAAAAAGGGAAGAGACTTCTGGGATGGATTGGATTCGTTGGAAGTTAATTGCACGATATTTAACATAGTGAAGGTGAATTATCTAGGAAATCTGGATTTAATCTGTTTAGTAAAATATAATAACAGCCGTTGTAATTTAATCGTAATTCATAAATAAGCACTCGTTGAATATTGACATATTACTAAATTTACTTAATGAAATATTCAAACAGTTACGAATATTGAAACGTAATATGTTGGTCAGTTAATACCAGAATAGTATTTACCTGCTAATAAATTAATTATGCAGATACACATATCTGCGTTATTAAATTTATATCATTCCTCGACTCCTCGATTTATTTCTACCTCGACTAATTAACTGCTTTCAGTTTCAACCTTGTGACTTAATTAACTTTAGAGATACTCGAACAACACATTTCTTCTAAGATTTTGTCTATTTAAACACAACTTAAATTTCATTCATAAATTATAATTAGGAGCTCACATTCTCATAATACAATATACTGTAGTTATCTGTATTATTAAATTCATACACATGATTCATTCTACTTCGACTTATTAACTGCTTTCAGTTGTAATCTTGTAACTTAATTAACTTTAGAGATACTCGAAAAACACGTTTCTTCTAAGATTTCTCTATTTAAACAACTTCAATCTTATTTATAAATGATAATTAAGAGCTCAGATTTTTATAACACAAGCGATTGAATATTTTCGTAAGGTAAGTGT